TGTTTGTTTGTTTGGAATTAAGCACAAAACTACACAATGGGCTACCTGTGCTCTGCCCAACACGTGTATCTACGCCAGATTTCTAGCGTTGTAAGTCAGCAGACATTCCGCTGTGCCACTGGGGGGGGGGGGGGGGGGGAGGCAAGAAGGTTTTTCCTGCACAATCTCAGCTGTTTGTTTGTTTGGAATTAAGCACAAAACTACACAATGGGCTACCTGTGCTCTGCCCAACACGTGTATCTACACCAGATTTCTAGCGTTGTAAGTCAGCAGACATCCGCTGTGCCACTGGGGGGCGGAAAAGCAATAAAATGTAATGGTGGGAAAGTGATAACTTGATGTTCAATGAACTAATAAGGAACCTTTTAACAGTCATTTTAAAGTTGTACAGATAGATAAGAGATTACCATTAATGCAGTCCGTACGTATATTTTCAAGAAGTACGTTTCAGTACAGCACTCAAAAAAACAAATATTTTTATCCATTGCTTCACGTACAGTGTTTTAAATATTTAAGGATTTATTCCTTTCGTGATGGGCTGTAGCATAAAATGTTGTTTTGTGTAACATTTAACCTATAAAAAGTTTTCACTACAACGATTACAGTTTAGAAAAACTGTCTTTCATTATAAACTGACGAACGTATATGTGACTCATTGTGGAGCTAAAGCTTTATTCTTCAGGTTTGTTTATGTGGCTAAAAGGACGGGCTTATATACTAAAAAAGAGGGCGCCTGGAACAGACTAGAGTTGCCAGGAAAAGTCATGATTCTTCTAGAAACTCCGGCGCGCATGCTCCCAGCGTCGCGTGACTTTCGCTGTCGAAACATTATGTTACATTCAAGGTGCTGTTTATAATCTAATTTGACGTGTTATGTTAGCTTTTTTAAATCACGAACTTATCACTACATAACGGTGATGAACATTAAACAAATTACCTTCAATATGAGTTTTATTAATTATTATTTAATGGAAAATAACAAACAATATTGTTTGTAATATTGTACAAAACAAAGAAACTAGTTTTGAAGTTTTACAACAACAAACAAAAATCTAATAAAGTATTAGAGATTATAAATTCACTAAAAAATCATAATATTTATATACTAAAAAAAAGTATATTTCAAATTACTGAAATACGAACCACCAAAATATATATACTGATGTAATTGTTTCTTAATACATACATTTTGCATGAGAATATATAGTGTTTTAGCAACAATGATTGTATCTATTACCTTCAGTTCCACATGAAGAATAATGAAATGTCCCTTATTCAATAGCCTGTTTCAAACTTTGTTATCCTGTTTAAGTGATAATGAACGAACTTGTTAGACTCCAGGGCAATAGTTATGGTAATAAAGTTGAGAAATAACTTATATTCAGCAGCCCGTTCTACGTTTTGTTGAAAATTACTTTTTCTCCCTCATCATAAGAGTTTTCTGAATAAACTTTGTGATTAGCTTACGTAAATAAACGTTTCAAGGATTGTACAAATAAAAAAATGTATTTTTCTATTATTATTTTATGAGAAAGACGCAGGTGCAGACGCCTCTATGACACGCCCTATTCTCGTGAAAGGGTGGAGACCATTATTACATACTGAAACTTAGGCTGGCACGTTCTAAACAGAAAGCAAAAACAAAAAACAAAAAAAAACGAAATTTTTGTCTGTAACTATATGTATATACAGAAAGAAAGAAAAAAGTTTTGGCAATATATTCTTCGTTGCTTTTTAGACCCAGTTATATAGCTTTCTTCGTATTCTTCAGGTTTGTTTATGTGGCTAAAAGGACAGCTTTAGCTCCACAATGAGTCACATATACGTTCGTCAGTTTATAATGAAAGATAGTCTTCGTTGCTTTTTAGACCAGTTATATATCTTTCTTCGGGCAAATAAAGCGGAGAAATGAATGTCAGATAGATAGATATAGAGACAGATAATTGAGTCAAGCGAGCGGTAGTGACGGTAATATAAAGTGTGTGGTTTGTTATCGAGATTGCAAACGTATTAATTGTGGAAATTCTGTGTACTGCAAAGTTGTATCGCTGAAGCTTCTCGGAAAGATTTTCTACTGGAAATTAACAAACAAGCAGATACGCAACAATAAAAACATCAAGTTGTGGGTTGCCTTTTTTCAATACGTGTCCCTTTACTTAATGAGTGAGAGTGGCTTATTTCAGAAAGCTGCCGATACAGAGGCTTTAGACAACGAATAGAAGAAGTTCGTTTGTCTAGGGTTCAGTGTATTATTTTCCACTGGTTACCTTATGCAGCAGTAGAACAGATATGTAATTCACAATAGTTTCGTAGTTTTTTTTTGGTATGTCATACACAAACTTGTTCGTTTCGATAGTTTTCCTTCTCGTTTTCTAAAACTCGGGTTTCAAAAATGAAAGTGCGGGTGTTTAATAAAGATAATACTTAATACGACAATACTTAAAGAGAGGCTGATCTGTTAATACGACAATACTTAAAGAGAGGCTGATCTGTTAATACGACAATACTTAAAGAGAGGCTGGTTTGTTAATATGACAATACTTAAAGAGAGGCTGATTTGTTAATACGACAATACTTAAAGAGAGGCTGATTTGTTAATACGACAATACTTAAAGAGAGACTGATTTGTTAATACGACAATACTTAAAGAGAGACTGATTTGTTAATACGACAATACTTAAAGAGAGGCTGATTTGTTAATACGACAATACTTAAAGAGAGGCTGATTTGTTAATACGACAATACTTAAAGAGAGGCTGATTTGTTAATTGGGACGTTCTTCAACGATAATCTTACTCTATTTATCAATGTAATAATGAGTGATAAACGAGTTCTTTCCAGTTTGGTGTATCCATCTGAAAAATACTCTAACGTCACAGTTTTCATTTTGACTTTAGATAAACAAGATTCAACATGTTCAGTACGTTGACACACACACATCAACACACACATATATATATATATATATATACATACATATATATATAGACACACAAACACACACACATGTGTATATATACACACACACATATATATATATATATGTACATACATATATATATATATATATATATAGACACACAAACACACACATATATATATATACATACATATACATATATAATTATATAGACACACAAACAACCATTAGCCAATACCAAACATTGTTTATCGAACCATTAGCCAATACCAAACATTGTTTGTCTTCCATCTATAATCAAGGTTTCTTTCTTCAAAGACAAAACTCAAAATAAATACGTTACCACGGCACTTATTGTTTATTGTCTATTTAATACCACAAATAAACCAAATCAAAGCAGACCAAATTATTTACCAAGTTTCAAATCACTCATTCAAAATAATATAAAATTATTGATTCACGAAAAAAAAAATCCAAATGTTTATGTCATCCACGTTTATAGACTCCATTCCCATGGTAACTTGTGATCATTTACTAGTCCAGCTTCCTCGTCATGTGGGATTCTTAGAAAAAAATAGTAAAAACACGTCACTTCCTCTGTTAATAACAAATAAGGAAACAACTCTACGGAAGTAGTAACACGTCGTTGTCCTACAATCTAATTGGAAGGAACACTTCTGTATACTGGCTAAATTCTATCCAGGAAATAAAGCTTCTGACTCCTTTTGGGACTCGTGATTTCAAGATAAGAAGGTTTTTTTTCTTCTGTTATGTGGTTAGTTTGTTACTAAAGAAAGCGAAATAAAAGGGTCTTCCCATGAGAAAAGGAAATCCACAAACAAACAAACACGGACCTGATATCAGCTGTAATTTCTGATTATAATGTGATGGTTAATCCAAGTATTCCTTAGTTAAAGAGTAACCCAAGAGTTTCCGGTAGGTGGTGTTGATAGATGAGGTGAATAGTTTGTTTGTTTGTAATTAAGCACAAAGCTACACAATGGGCTATCTGTGCTCTTCTCACCATGGGTATCGAAACCCGGTTTCTAGCGTTGTAAGTCCACAGACATACCGTTGTGCCACTGGGCGGTGGGTTGCTCTTGAAAGTATACATTTCTAGTAAACAACATTAACTAATCTCGTGCTTGTTTCTATTCTGTGTGTGTGCATGGACCACTGCTATCAGTTACAGTTATGGACCGATCTTCATATCTTTAATGCAAGCTATATACATTTCGTGTATATAATTTTAAGCTTTTTTAAATAATG